ACACAGGATAGGCCTAGGTTAATTGTTATCTGTGTTTGGGTTACATTATTGTATCTAGTGATCGCGCGACTCGCATACGCGCATGATTGCGCAACGGGACCACAGGCACTTGGAACGTCTCAATAAAAAATAAAAAATGTAAACACAAAATGTATTTACTACCAAAGTCTAAAGTCTTAATGTTTCTCTACTCTATTAACTATTTTGCTTATTATTGCCGATATATTACCCGTAAATGCCAGTCAAATGCTCATCTGCAACACACATTAAGTACACCGCACATTGTGCACAAACGACATGAATAAGAGAGATATAATATTATCAAGAGCGTACAACGGTGAAATGGTGAAACTATGCTGCAGTATTAGTCGAATTAATAAACTTTAACCGCTTATTTTGACGATTCTTTGTGGTATTATTGATCAGCTGTCCTACCTTGCTAATATAAAACAAACCGCTTGTCCCTACGATGCCTCTACACTGAGATAATGAGCGGTGAAAATCTGGTATTTTTGCCGAAAACCGACTCGAGATACGTAGTGGCTGCGACTGTCTCTCGCTCTGGCGCTAGCTTCGGGAAACCTCGAGTGTTTCCGTCATTCATTGACAATGAAATTTATTTTCCTTCTACTATCTTTTCTCGCATTTCCAGTCATTGACGCAGCCATTACTCCACAAAAACGTATTGTTATTTATCGCCATGGTGATGACCCGCCCCCTACCCTGGATGTAGTAACGCTGTAGTAATAACGTATCGAGTCAGCACTACACAGCAGCGACCGTAAGCAACATACAGTACACAAAACGAGAGACAGTCGCAGTAAAACTGATCTCGAGTCGGTTTTTGCCGAAAATACCAGATTTTCACCGCTCATTATCTCAGCATAGAGGCATTGTAGGGACATGCGGTTTGTTTTATATTAACAAGGTAGGACAGCCGATCAATAATACTGCAAAGAATCGTTAAAATAAAACGGGAAAGTTTATTAATTCGACTAATACTGCAACATGGCTTCAGCATTTCACCATTGTACGCTCTCCTTCTTTATACGCTCTTGATATTATATAACTCTCTTATTCATATTGTTTGTGCACAGGGCAGGCGTGCGGTGTACTTGTGTGTTGCAGATGAGCATTTGACCGGCATTTACGGGTAATTATCGGCAATAATAGGCGAAATAGAGTAGTGAAACATTAAGACTTTGGTAGTAAATCCATTTCGTGTTTATTTGCATTTTTTTTTTATTGAGACGTTCCAAGTGCCTGTGACGGGACCGCTCTGCCTGATTCTGCCGAAATATACAGATATATGCACTGCTGCCGTGCTATCCTTTCATCCCGTCCTCTTCGCTCTCGCTCTCGTC